TACAGCCCTGAGCCTGTCCCCTCACCGAATGATGTCCGTGTACTCGCGGTCCTTCCCCTTGCTCTCCTTCCACTTCCTGTACATCACAGATGCGTCCACGTTGGCCGGCGAGAAGGTGTTGGGCTCGTTAAGGAGAGAGATGACGCTCAGCAGGATGGTCCTGGGGGGACACGTCAGCGCAGAGCCCAGGGCTCTCAGCCCACCCCTCCCTCCCCCAGGCAAGGAGGCTGGAGAAGAGTGCCCAGCACCCACCAGCCCTCACCTGACGTTCTGGGTGGGGTTCCACCGCTCCGAGGGCAGCTCCCCGCTCTGGGGGTCATCGACTGGGGGGTGCAGGATGGAGATGCACACATCCCCCGTCTGCATGGGGGTATCAGGAAAAGGGGCCGCATGAGCAGTTCTCACCCAAAGCCAGCCCACCGTATGCCCCCCACAGCCAGGCATGCACACCCACAGACACCTCAAGCTCTCGCCAACACACGCCTGAGCGGGGGTGGCCCCGAGTAGTGGGCTCACCTCGTAGATGTTGGGGTGCCACATCTTGGTCAGGAATCGGAATGCAGGTGGCGAATAAGGGTAGTCGATGGGGAACTTGAGGCGAGCCTGCAGGGGAGGGGTGCCAGGAGCGCATGCACCATCAGAGGAGGAGGTGGGCAGCTTGGCCCTAGGGGTGACCTCAACCACAAGAATGAGGAAGCTGGGCACCAGCCAAACCAAACTGGGATGGTGAGTTTGTGCCAGTGCTGCCCGGCCCTGGAGCACGGTCAGGGGCTCCTTCTCCGGGGGAGTGTCCTCAGGACAGCTAGGTCAGCAGGCTCCATCTGGGAGTCAGCTCAGCGCTGGCCCCAGGGGCTGTGCAGCCCCGTCTCCTGGTCCTGTGTGCGTGTCTGTCTGTATGTTGGGGGGGGGGCGCGCAGATTAAGCAGGTAGCGCAGCCCCCCACACCCGGGTCTGGGGAGTGAGGAGTCAGTAGCCGTGGGCCCCTGTTGTGCTCTCAGGCGTCCGTCCAGGGCATCACCAGGGTGAGCCGGGCCCTGGGCATGTGGTGAACGGGGGACAAGCAGGTGTCCAGAGCTCGCCCCTTGCTCACTGCACGGCAGGTCCTGGGACCGCGCGACAAAGGCGGGCGCTGCAGAAAGTGGCTGGGAGCACCGGTCACCAAGCACTGGTCAGCACTGGTCAGCACTGGCTGAGGGGCTCTGGGGACCACGGAGCGGGTGGGCGGCGATGACCTCTGGCAGCACACCCTCCCCTGCTTGTTTCTCCAAGGGAAGGCGGGGGTCAGGTTGCCCTTTGCCAGGAGGTTCTACCCACAATCCTTTGCAACAGCAAGTGCCCCTGATCCTTTTCTCCCAGGGCAGCAGGACAGTCGGTGGGCTCGATGCCACCCCTCCTCCTAGCTGTCACAGACCCAGGGCAGGGGCCGAGTTCTGTCACTTCGAGACCCTCCCAGCCCGTGTTTGTCCCCGACGCGGACGGGTGATTGAAGACACTAAACCCCGCAAAACCTTTCCAGCAACAAGGCTGCAGGCCGCCCCACCAGCAGAGACCCCCAGAGCAAGAACGGCTCCAAGCCTGGTCTGGGGGCGAGGGTTCGGGAGGGAGGCGGGACGTGCGGGTGGGACGGGAAGGGGGGCGCCTGCCTCCACCCACTCCCCCGACAGCAGCTACAGCCAAGCTGGGACCGGGTCCCCAAGAGCGGCGGGCGCAGCTGGGGCGCCCCTTTGTCTCCAGGGGAGGGAGTTGGAGGGGGGCCCGCCGGGGGCTCACCTTGAAGTACCCGCCCTCGTAGTAGGTGTTGGGGGGCCCGAAGATGGCCACCTCCCAGTTGTACAGGTCGCCTTCGTCCACCAGGGTCACGCGGAAGCCCTCCACCGGCTCCTCCTGCAGGCCCTTGAGCTCGAGAAGCAGCGCCTTCTGCGAGCTCGGTACCAGTGGTCGGGCCATGGCGGCGGCGGCGGCGGCGGCGGCGGCGGCGGCAGCGGAGGGACCTGCG